GGAGAGATAGATCTATTTGAGGATCTGGTAAAAGCTAAGGATCTGCTTCTCAGAAAGCCATCCATAAATGCCATAATTTCCATATCACTTGAGCATATTCCTAGGGATCCTGGAAAAAGGGTATAAATAAATGAGTCTTACACTAAGAACCTCTGTTCTAAATAAAGGAAGGTAAATTTAGGTGATAGAGACAACCAACCAAGGTGAAGCACATATGTGTACATGACACTAATGGTCCTACCGTTTAATACCTAGAATTCTATAAAAACTCTCAAACAAAACACCAGTCACATTCCAGACCTCTACTTACCTATCTGGATTTATTAAAGATCGTATAGTAATTGCAGCCTTTAAACGCTGCTTGACATCTAGGTAACTAGAAGGCTCATCAAACATGAAACTATAAAAAAAGAAGAAAAAAAGCAAATATGAAGACAAATAAGACATTCTACCTTGCATGTTATTTTAAAGCACTGTAGTATCAATAGCTTCTGATTTAACAGCAACAGAAACCTCCCCAAAAACTGATGAAAATTCTACCTATAATAGTAAAATTTTTGGCACTTTGTTCAGAAGCATGAAGAAAGTAATTAGCATAAGCAAGATTGCACAACTTGGGAAGAACCCACCAGGCTAAGGCTAAATTATGAACTGGCACCTCCTCTTGAAAAATATTCTGATGTAGTCTGAAGTAGTTTGGAGAGCTAGTGCAAAATTCATAGAAGAGTTTCTATAGAAGAGCTAGCCTGCACTGGACACCAGAGTGGAAATGTGGAAATAGACAGGAGTAAGAATATCTGGGAGAAGAGAGGCACTAAACTGTAGGAAAGAAAACTGCCTTTTCATTCTCCTTTTCTCTCACATGGAATGCCCCCCTGATCTAGGGCAATCTACAAGACCTCATGTTTTGCTTCAGGTATTTCAAAAGCTTGGTGGCCTGGTTAGAGAGCTTAAGTCTTAAAAACAAAAAAAACAAAAACTTTATGTAAAAAGTGGCCTTCAATTATGAACAAACAAGTGACTTTCTATTAAAAAGCTCTGGAACCTATCTACTTACCTAAGGAAATGATAGTTTCCCTTCCTTGTAGGAAAAATAACAGGGAAAATGAGTAGTAGATGCATAATTGCTTTATCATCTTAACTCAAAATGAGAACCTTAGATATCATTTCTCTTAATTTCTCTCAAAACCATTCCTGTATCAGCAGCATTACAAATAAAAACTCTAAAATAGGGTTAAAAAAATTATAAAGTAACCTACATATCAGCTTTCTGTATGCAAACGACAGCACAAGCAAATCTCTGCAATTCTCCTCCTGAAAGATCTTCAACGTTTCGTTCTTTTAGGTGGGTTAAATCTATAAAGAACACAGAGGCATTGTGTTCAATGTTATAAATTTTATTTTACCTCTTCCAGGCAAAATGTATACTGCATGTCATTATTCGGAGTTTGAACCCTATTTTAATTGAAAATTGTGTGACATGGAAAGTAAATACGACAATTTAGAGAATTTTATACAACAATACTAGAGAATTTTCCCATTTATTTTATGTATAGCTATCTGTACAAAAATGTATACTTTCGTGACTTTTAAACACTTACCAAGCTGTTGACATACAACTGCCTGTGTTTTTGTTTCATCTTTTCGGTCCAAAATAGATCCTACTGTCCCCTGTCATAATATACCAGAAACAGTTACCAATGTTTTCTTTCAATATTAAAAAGAATCACAAAGAAAAACACCTTTACTTTGCTAAATCTTTTATATTTCCCTCAATAGCTAAAGTATATAAATTATTCCTAAAAGCAACTAACCTTTGCAGCCTTAGGAATCTGGTCTACATATTGGGGTTTGATAATGGCTTTTAAGTCATCTTCCAGAATCTTGGTAAAATAATTTTGTAATTCAGATCCACGGAAATAAGTCAAAATCTCTTGCCAGTCAGGAGGATCCTAGAAATATTTATATATAATTATATAAATTAAAATTAATCATATAATTGCAAATAGGATGAATGCCAAGTGAAACAGAATGTAGGTCCAAGTAGAATACTTCTGTGTTCTCTCTAAAATTGAAGGCTGATTTAATATCACATGAAGGCCTAACAACTCCTAATAGTTTCCTTAAAGGAACTCCAAATTTTCAGTCAAGTAGTGCTAACATTTAAAAAGGAATGACACAACTTCATCTATATAGTTTCTCACCATTAATTCCACGAATAATCTTGTCAAGAACATTAAAAAAAAATCACAGATCCCCCTAAATCTCATAAAACTAACTCAAGATATTAATTTTTACAAGTTAGCAATACATACATCGTACTTTCCAAGGTTTGGCTTTTGCTTTCCTGCTAAAATTTTTAAAGCAGTTGACTTTCCAATACCGTTAGTTCCAACTAATCCCAAAACTTCACCAGGACGAGGGATAGGCAACCTGTTATAAGTATATAAAAATAAAAAAACAACTCAGGCTTAGGTAGAAAAGCTACATAATATCAGAATGATGTATTTTAATGCATTTGCACTTCACACACATCCGTTAATAAGCTAAGAAATATATGCCAGATATTATTGGCTATTAGAAAAAAAAACAGACAAAAGATTAACTTAAACTGTTAATTGTTAGAAATGCATTCATGACTAATATTACTCCAACTTTCATTTATTCAATTTTCATTCAAAGTCCATTCTAAAGTAACATTTCTTCTTTACAGATAAGGTTCAGTTTTAATGTATAACAAAATGCTTTGGTGTAACATTACATAGCAGGTGCAACCTCACAGTCCTTTTTTTCTGGCCTGCCATTTACTTACAAGGAGAGAAGTGCCACATCAATCAGAAATATTCCACTTCATTCTCCCTGCTGCAGTAGGCCCTTTAAAGCTGGCAGGTTGAGAAATACCTTTTTATTAGTAAAATCTGGACTCCCGGATTTAAAATAGTAGTGTTCAGCAGAAAAAAACCTCAGAGAACTAAGGACTTGTTTGTAACTTAGTAATATATACCATCATTCAAAGTGATATTCGCTGTACATCATCAAATTAATAGATAAATAATATTGAAGGCATGTTCCCTTAAAAGTTATTCTGGGGATAAGGGCATTACCAACAATAGTGATTCTTGGTCCTGGTTATACATTAGAATCACTTGTTGCCTTTTTTGCCAGACTCTCCAGGGGTCCTCAAACTACAGCCCATGGGCCACATGCAGCCCGCCGAGGATATTTATCTGGCCCACTGGGTGTTTTTGCCGCTGCTGCCTGTCCTGCTTAGCAGCTGACTTGTCCTGGGCCTGCAGTCCGGCCCACCAATGGTCTGAGGAACAGTGAACTGGCCCTCTGTTTAAAAAGTTTGAGAACCCCTGCATCTATACCCAGAGATTGAGATGTAATTCAACTGGGGTAAAACCCAAGCATTAGCAGTTTTAAAAAATCCCCCTAGGTAATGCTAATGTTAGCCAGAACGAACCACTGGCACATACAACATGACTGGGCACGATGTTATAATACTGTTTTTCCCTCTGGTAGATGGTTAATGTTGTTTTTCCCCCATTTTTGCATTCTCTGAAAATTCTAAATGCATTTTATTTTTAACTTGACAGAAGTAAAGAGGAATGGTGATGTGAAAATATACCTGTGAAGTTTGAAGGCATTGGCACAATATCGATGTGTGGTTTCTTTTTCCAAGTTGCTTGGTAAATTGACAATTGATAAGGCGCCAAAGGGGCATTTCTATTATTTAAAGTAAAAAATTAATTTTGTATTAATTTGTAGAAATACATACATGATTAAAATGCATAGATTAAGAATACTTTAATAAACAATCCAAATATGGGAATGTCACAAAGGTGTGAAATGTTTCATTTCCTTATTTACGTAAAAATAAAAATTAAGTTTCTTAAAGACTGGAATCGTATCAACTCTAGTCATCCCTTAGTATGTGTGGGGGACTGGTTCCAGGACTCCTGCATATACCACAATCTGTACAGATTCAAGGCCTGCAGTCAACGCTGCAGTACCTGAGTACACAAAACAGTCAGCCCTCCCTATACTTGGTTTTTGCATCCTGCAAATACTGTATTTTCAATCTAAGTTTGGGTGGAAAAAAACCCACGTATAAGTGGACCCTCATAGTTCAAATCTATATTGTTCAAGGGTCAACTGTAATTTGATATTTCCCTTAGTGACAGGCATGATAATATCCTAGATATTTAATGAATGTTTAACAAGTACTGAAAAACTTAATAGAACATGAGATTTTCTGTTTTTTTTTTTAATGTAGTAGATAAGGGATGAGACAAAAGATGGTTATTGAATAGATGATTTCATATTCTCTCCAAATCAGATACCTTTCCTCTAATTCCTTCCATTATTCCTGTTCTTGACTGCTTCCTTTTTTACCCTGTGAAGTCCTTTAATAGATTATATCTTTTTGAGGTTTTTCCCACTCCACCATTAGCTAGCACTGCATAGATTAAGAATTAATGTCTTTTCATTGTAATTTTTATGCATCCCATATGAAAAAGATGCTTCCCTCAGAGTAAATTCACATTAAAAACCTACTTATTCATTCAAAAACTTACTCAAAGAACATCTGATTATTAGGTAAATATCCCAAGAAACAGAATGGCCAGAGCAGGAAGGTCATCTAACACATTAACTGCCATGGGAGTATTTAACACACATTAGTTTTGAGTCTGGGGCTTCACGAAGGTGTGAAACCTCTACTCATTGTTTTTCCTGTCTAGCATGTCTCCCCTCATCTCCTGTTGCCCTGCTCCCTTCTGCCTGCCCAAGCAGGCCACATGTGCTGGACTATGTTCTCTAATTACCTTACCTTCCAATTGTGTGCTGTGCCTTGAAAGTTTGCCTGGTGGCTCTTTGACTAAATCTATACTGTAGTATGCAGCAACATGTGACATGTTGCACATACGTAGGAGGCAGGATTCAGAGGGCATCATTCAAACCCACTCAAGGTCTACTCAAAACACTCAATTCTCAGGGACAAATTCAGTAAAGTATGCTTGTGAGTCACATACAATTCATACAGCATGCAGTGTAAAAACTGATTCCACTGTATGAGCTGCATAATTCATGCATAGAAAACAATGAAAGATACATTTTTCATTGAATTAGAAAGGATCATTTTGTTTTCACAGTTTTTATTCGATTTTCATAATAAAACACTGTGATCCCAAGGAAAACCATTTTTTTTTCTGTTGTGGCAGCCCATGTGTTAAGAGTAACATGGTAAGAAACTATGGAGGTTCATATAAGACTATAACCTCATATTAGAGATCTGTTTACCACCCATTTTCAACCTTGGGGGGCAATTTCAAAGTCTCTGTATATGAGATTTCAGTGAATCTCCATTTTATAAGTAACAGAACCATACAGAATTAGAAAAAATACCCTAGACCGGCTGTGGTGGCTCATACCTGTAATCCCAACACTTGGGAGGCCAAGGCAGGTGGATTGCTTGAGCTCACAAGTTTGAGACCAGCTTGAGCAAAAAGTGAGACCCCATCTCTACTAAAAGTAGAAAAACTGAGCCAAGAGGATCCCTTGACCCAAGAGTTGGAGATTGCTTTGAGCTATGACAGCACAGCACTCTACCAAGGGTGACAAAGGGAGACTCTCTCTCAAAAAAAAAAAAAAAAAAGAAAAAAGAAAAATACCTCTTCTTTTCTAATAAAGTAATTTCTACCCTGTAACCAAAACTATTACTTTTTTACACATTAATGTTTCTGCCAGTGGAGTCACCCCCATTATTCTCTTTCATCAATGTACATAAAATGCTTGTAGGTTGCAAATGATTTAAGCTTATTTAAATCTACAAGGGAAAATATCCACTGTTCATATATGAAGTACATTATAAGTATCTTAGTGTTCAGAAAGTATATATTACTTCCCCACCCCTATGAATAGATCAATCTTATTAGATTGTTTTCATCTACTAAAGTAGACATACAAAGTTTTAGAATCCCATTTTCCTACAGCAGCAAAAAAAGAGAACAGATGATAATACAGTGTTCAAAATCAGACTCCAAGCACCTAAGACTAGACTAGACATAGGCAGGCATCTAACAAGAGATTAGTAAATATTTGCTGGAATGAATGTTTTCAGCTTATCTTTTCAAAATAAAGAAAAATATTTCCAAGGACTCAGGAAATCTTTCTGGATACTTCACCAAGGATTCAGAAACCAATGTAAAACGTACATATGATTTATTTATAAATACAGTGGCACCAATACTCTGATGAAGCTCCTTTTAATATCTACACATAAACATATCTAAATTAAGAACTTTACACATTGGTTCCTAAATTCCTTTTATGAACTAAAGCTGAAAATACACCATTAATAAGTCAAAAAAGGCTAATCAAACTATTCAGTGCAACAAAAACTAATTGAGCTATTTTAAAAATTATACTATTAGGATAACTAGATGCATGAAAAAGCATTTAAGGATGAGGCTAAATTTTAAAATTCTTGGTTGTCTGTAATTCTATTTAAAGGTGTGAATTTAAAATTAAATACATAGGCTCGGC